TAATAGGAACGAATGTTGCATATTAATAATGGAAATTGCAATTTGTAATAGTGATTAAAATGTAAATGATATAAATTGCAGGAAACGATTAGAGGCTGAAATAAATAAATCAGATATTCAGTGATGGGACAATAAATATATTCATCTTTTTTAAGGATTCTGTCCTTTCTAATAATTCATATTTTTCCAAAAGAACAGAAGTAATTGTTAATAAAGTTTTGAGTAGCATACCGCATTTATTTTGTATACAAACTTTCGATTTAATATCATAAGTAGACTGCGGATGTTAATGCATTAATAGCGTCCCCTGAATTGCAACAAATAGGAAAATATAAATTCTAGTAAAATTGAACGGTATTTACGAATTATTGTTAACATATTATAACCCCTAGCATAGGAAACAAGTTCCTGTTCAGTTTCAATTTTGTATATCGTCTCTCTAAATCGTAAATTTGAATAAATACCCGTAGTCCAGTGATGAAAGATACATTTTTAACTGTATGGCTTTTCATTTCTACAATCTACATTAAGCATTTTTCATTAAGTAAGCGTACGGTGGATAATGAACGCACTTGTCAAAATTAACAATGCGAATTCAAATTAATTTTTAACTTATGTGATGAAAGGTGAACGAAAATTACAAGAGTATTGTCTGAAGAGATACATTAAGTGTTCTAAAGGAGTATATTCCAGGTAAAGCATACCTGAATACAGAAAGCCATAATACCGCAAGTAACGAAAACAATGAAATAGAAAGGAGCGGGCCGTAAGGTATTTACGTACAAGGAATCAAAAGCGGAGAATCGTACACATACGTGGTAGAAAGAAGAAAATAAACGTTCAGTGGGAGTGAAGCTTAAATGAAAAAGCAATAAAACGACAAAGTCAAGAAAAGAAGAATTAACAATAGGCATATAGTGAATGGAATATACATAGTGTATTTAAACAAAATTGTTCTGGAAAAAAGGAATAAAATATATGAAAGTAAACAAACAAATTGTAAGACATCGTATCCCCGATCATTGTATTAATTTCCTGAATTCACGTAATAAAGAAATAGGAAGTCTCTAATTACACTTGGCTTTCTGAATCTAGAAATTCAGTTGTTTATGTATTAAAAAAAACGTACTTATTTCTACGAATCGATTAAATACAATCAATAATCTCCATCATAATAAATAGCACAAATTCATAATCGAACATTTCAAACTAACCTCGAAACGATCCTTGATACTGCTTCACATCCCACACACGTGAACACAAAACAAATCTCACTATAGAGGAGGTGACCGTGTTAAATATATAAATTTGTTTTGTTGGATATATGTATATAGACACTACTTATGAGAACAGTTGGTGAAGCTTTCAAAAACTGTCGAAGACTGATTGGTACCTCGTCAACCTCGGTCCTGTCAGGCAAAAGGAAAAAGGGTCCTTGTCTAGTTTAACTGTTTTCAAGAGTCCCGATTGGTTGTGGTTTCTAGAGTGGAGACAAGCAAGTAGTGTCTTGAAAACAGCGATGCTTTCGCGAAGTAACCTGACATGTGTCCCTGCGGGGGTTTCCTTTCCCTAAACAGCTGCAGGGTAAGTTCCTGTCCGTTATGCCTGGAAATAATCAAAGTCCATGACATACAGCCTTGGCGACCCTCGCCATATGTGGACGATGTAAAACAATAAAATGTTGTCCGCTCGCAGCCGTAATAGAACTCTACCTTCAACCTTTAGACTGCCGACATTTTTTCATAAAAAATGTGTTTTCTTTTTGCCAAAAAACAGAACATATGCACTGCGTTAAATTTGGAGTTCTGCCAATGTCCCAAAAGGAATCCTTCCGACAGCCTAACGGCCCAGTTCAGACGATACGGTTTTCCGACCGATTCGGTAATTTTGCCGAAACGATAATAGCCATAAGCAGCATTCACGAGTACAACCAAAGGAAGTAAGCATAAACGTGAGAGTTGAATTTTCAGTGAACATACGGAATCGTATGAACGCAGCTCTACCATCGATTCGGCGAAATTACCGAATCGGTCAAAAAAACCGTATCGTCTGAACCAGTTGTAAAAGTTAACAGAGTGCTGTGGGTCGGTTATGGAACGTATACCACTCCTCCTAAATCCTAATAGCTCTATACAAAATGTCAACATCAAACGTTCCTAAAACCATCAAACAATCTCCATCTCATTCGTTAAAACTTTCTCTTAACACAATTCACAACACACCACAAACAAAAAAAAAAACCGTACACACACTATTCATAACACACCACGAAGTGTCGAACCGTTCTTCAACGCGACAGATCCCAGCCCCCGTGTCAGTGTGTGGCCAACAATCGCGACAAGCAACTTTCGCTGCCTCCAAAAACTGGGCACAGACTCAATCCTACGGAGGGAGGCGACATCGTGGAAAAGGAAACGAGGAAAAGAAAAGATACCATAGAAGAGTGGGAGAAATGAAAAGGAGACCGCGGGACGAAGGAGAGAAAGAAGGTAAACAGTTCAGGGCGACCGGAGGCAAAGACAGAGAGAGGTGGACGAAACAGAGAAGCGAATAGAGCGCAGAGGAAGCGTCGAGGGGAGCAAACATTAATGCCACCCCGCAGACCGCAGATGTTGCGCCAATTACAAACCTCACCCCCTTCCCCCCTCCTTCCTACGTTCGTCCCGGTCCTGGCGCTTTCTCTTTTCGCGATGGGGCGACCCGTTGCGGCGTCCTCTTCACGGGCGAGAAACAAGGACGGAACACGTCGTGGTGTTCCGACTTACGAGCCCGATGTCGCATGCCCTCCTGCCTCGAGCTCTTTGTCTTTCCCTCCGTCAACCCCCTACGTCTTCCAACGTCGACGAGACGCTGTGTGCAGCTTAGATGCAGCCCGGAGGCGTCCGTATGCTGGAAGACAAGGGGAGACGTCGTGAGGGCTGGGGGTCGGCCGTGGCCCAACGAGACACGAATTTTCGAAAAGGTTCTCGCACTTTGTTAGATTAAATTTAGCAGCACAAGACGCAAAAAGACACCAGCCCTTTATCTGTTTCTCTCTCTCTTTTTGTGCGAGGGGGTGAAAGGGTTAACGGTTCGAAGGACTACTGCGAAGGAATACGATTGAGGGGAGGAACGGAGAGAAAGCAACACTGGGGGAAAATGGGGTGGATGAGAACAGGGAGTACCGCCCGGTGGCTGATATTATTCTTGGGTCTTCCTCGCTCCGGTGCATTATTAGTTCTGGCGTGTTAGCATACATGAAATATTGATGTTACCAGGGGCCCCACCAGTCTCGATCTCAACCTCTTCATCCCCTCGTTCGTCCCGTCGCCCCTTTCCTGAATCCCTCGACCCCTCTTTTTAGTTCGTCTGATTTTACACGTACATGAACATCTACTTGTACTTTCACGAGAGTTTTTCACTTGTTGTTTCTCCTCGTGGTCTCCCTACGCTTGGCTCTTTGCACGACGATTTTTATGGCTGTGGAACCCTCTTGTTTGGATTCTTGTAATCCGCTTCTTGATCGTTTCTGGGGTATTTTTAGAGGACAGCCGGCGAGATTGGATTCCTTGCTTCTGATATTTACAGAATTGTTCGGTGGTTTCTATCCTTTTGGTGTCCCTTTTGGGGAACATTGATGCCATCGCCTTCCGTGCAGGTGTTACTTGAGTGGTTTTGTAATGAAAAGAATGCAGAGAATTGGAAAAATAACTTATGATTTTCGAGACTTTTTTTCGAACCGATCGTATTCTTATTTCTTTTAACGATATTACGCCTTTCCAGGGTTTTCCAACGCGACCCAGTTAATATTTCATCACGAATATTTTCATGTCTCAGAAAAGTATAAGAAAATTGATGTTAATATGTATGTTAATATTTCATCAATATTTCAGTGAAATGAACAGCACTTCCTGGTAGTCATAGACCAATCTCTGTCGTGTGGTATGTTATTAATGTTTCAGAGATTTTGTAAACAATTTTTGTTTATTGAAGTCTATTGAATCATACTTAGGTGTGATTAACTTTGATAATATACGAGAGAAGAACTTATTGAAAAATTCATACAGCTTACTGTCATATCTGAATGTAAGACAAGTAATAAATATAATCTTTTTTATTCTATTGTATACTAATATAATCTTTTTTATTCTATTGTATACTTTATACGAAATAATGTTTATGCGTTATGTAATTTAATAACAGGAATGTTAATGCACGTGTTAATCGTTTTATCTCCATCCAATAAATTCTAGCTTTGAACCTGTACGAAAATCACTCGCAGAAGTAATTCGATTCCCGAGTGTTCCCCGATCCAAGAGATTTTTCTTTATTTGACTGCTAACTTTATCGCATTATTACATTTTTGTTGCGTTTCCGTCTCGCTGCGCCCGTTTTCCACTTTTCTCGAGTTTCCCACGAGAGGTGTCCGCGGTGATCGATGCGTTCTTCGAAAAAAGATCAAGATTGAAGAGAATGCGTTTCACCGGCAAACTCGAACCGAAGGGGGAACTTTTTAGTCATTTACATTTACTTTCGTCTGAGTCCTGTAACGCTTTCCGTACCGGTGTATTCTACGAATCCGTTATGTTAATGCAAATTCCGAATTGCAAACATTGCGAATACATTTCGATGAAAAAATATTATGGTAAGAATTAGAAGTCGAAGTCGACTCACAAACTGGTGAAAACTGATCTTCATGTAGTAGTTTGTACAAATCTTGTGTTTCTATATTTCTATATGTGTATTATAAAATTTGGAATTCTCTGAATTTATTTAAAATACATTTATTAAAAGTACGTAAAATCTCCATGTTAGAAATATGACTGGTCTTGGTACATACAGATAGATGAAATAGCTTCTAGTCATAAGATCGAAATTACCCATCAGAAATTTAATATAGAAACAAAAAAGGAAATGTAGCTCGAAATAAATAAATAAAAATTTTTCATCGTTGGGGCATATATGTATATTAAAACTTTTACATAGAATAAATTGAATCAATAAATTGAAGGTAGACTCACCAGTTTTCACGCTTTTTTCATTGTGAATCGTCAGTGAGCTCGGATTTCCGTAAACGGAATTATTTATTTCGGCCATCAGCTCCCAATCTGCACAGAAAATATCATATTCTACCGATCTCGCCAGGAAAACGCATGCAAAAGAGAACTTGTAAAATATTCCAATTAAAAATTTCATTACTTATGTTTAATATGCGTGGATAATTGTCATGGCTTGTAAAACTTATTCCGTACACAAGAAATGAATTGTGGCCACTGGTCTAAAGGCATGGAACTAAATTACTTCCCCCTGGCGGGAAGTTAAGCTTCCCTCGAGTGCATGGTCCCGGAAAATGCATCCATAAAAATCAACTGCACTTCTTAACATATTTATTAACGTAAAATGATTTCTTCGGTGAGTTTGGTTACTTTCGCGTTTGAACTGCTTCAGAACATATTAATTAATTACACTAAAATATTTATGACGTTAAAAGAAGTTTCGTGATACATTTTACTGAAACATTTTCTCTGTAAAATATTAAATACTCGAAACACGCTACGGTCCAAGTTCTCGAATATTTAATTACAGTATTTCACTGGTTTCATATTACTTTTTATTAAAATTTAATTTTCCACTAACTGTATTCTTATATTGAGCATGTCTGAGAGGTCTGACGGTTTTCTACCGTATTATGACAAAGTTGCAGGATCTTTATACAGGAAACAGAGAAAGTGGTCAAAAAGGTGAAATATGGTTAACTTATTTAGACATAAAACTAATTTAATCAGAATTTTATGGAGTTTTCGTTATTTTTAGAATTAAGGAGATTCGAAAATCATCTGAAAAAGATGAAAAAAAAAATAATTCGTGTAAGGGTTGCTGGGGATTACCCGTCCATATGGTATAGTAAGCTATATTGGTAATATGAAATTTCAATGAATATTTGAGTAAATGTTTATTAACGAACTGTACTGAATATGGAACGGTCGGACTAAATGGGTTAATATTAAATGTAACTCATCTTAACGTGAATCAATTACGACACACAGACGACATAACTTTTCGCCACAACTAATATAATTCTATTCGGCCCTGAAACTCTCTCTTCGATGAAGTAATGTATTTCTCCGGTTCGAAATTACATTCGAACGAATCAATTACGTCGCAAAGTTACATTAACCCTCCAATTTCCACAGCTCGAATTCCGATCCAATATGGGCAATTTTGTTAATTTATATCTCTACCAATATATACAAAATGGTTCCAAAAGTTTTCTTGAAAAATATTTATTCTTAGTTTCTTGTATGTAGATGGATCAAGCCTAGAGTTCCTACCGGCAGTTCTACGAACTAAAATGTTGAAATAGATACTAAACTGGTCGTTAGGGCGCACTGATCTTGCAAACTGAATTTTTTTATACAACAATACAGATTACCTATTCTCCGAGTTAACCATTCAAAATTCCGGATAGAAGATAACCCATAACCTATAAATCGATAAACACTTTCTCCCGCGATAAATAACATTCAATCGATTCCCAACGAAATATCAGAAAGAAATTTCCGTCGTACATAAAACGGGGACCCTGTTCCCTCTATACGCAAAAGCTCGCTCCGCGAAACTGCTCCGCCACTAAATTACGAAACTAGAAAGAAAAAGAGGAAACGCGTTCAGAATTCACTCCATGCACGCGGGCACGGTCGAGGAAGCGGGTGTATAAGAGGAAGAGGCAACGTCGCGGAAAGAAGCTCTCTTCAAGTGGTATCGAGAAAAAAAGCAAAGCAAAGTAACCCACAAAAAAAAATATATATATAGAAGCACGCTATGTCGGCGCTTCCGCGGGATAAAATATTATTTTCCCCGCGATTAAGGGAGGTTTACGAGCTCACCTTTCTTCGGCAACTCCGTGGTGGACGGACTGGGGCTGGTGCTTGGCGGCGGGGACTCTGCAACGAAAGAAACAAGTTTTTATTTTTAATTAAAGTTTCCTTTACCCCCCCCCTCCCCCTCCACGCCTTCTGTCGTAGGCGCGTGTGCCCCGTTAGAGGAACCAACATCGGAGGCTGGTCTCAACAAGGAGTAGAGAGAAACAGAGAGAAAAAGAGAGAAAGAGAGAGTTGGGTAGGACAGGAGGGGGGCTCGGAAGCTGCAGGGGCCGTTATGGATCGCGCCACCTGTTACTAACTTCACCCTCAAACGTATTAGCCACCGTAGCGTCGACCAAGCCGGCCAAACTCCAGATCATATTTTACAGGCTACCTACCACTACCACCCCTCCAATCTTCGTCCCTCCCTCCCTCTACCTTGTCGGACCTGGTGAATATAGTTGAATAATTATTCCTAATATGGTCATCCGTCGTCCTACGTATTCGTCGTCATTCTACTACCTGATGTCATGTACGTCACATAGATTCCGTGGTAGCTGCAGCTGGCTACGGATTAAGCCAATTGGAAGTCCTGCACGTGGCGGAATGCACCATCGGAGTGCATTGATATTTTTGGGGTAATATGTTACTTCGCCGTTTGGGTGATTCTATCCCTGTTTTGTTGCTCTTGTAATGAGGCAACTGGTTCTGATTTCTGGATGATACTGTGATCTAGGAGGGTTTGCGAAAGGTCGCGTGTGATAAATACTAACTCGGAATGTTTTATGGGAAATATAGAGGGTGTCATGTAACTGGTGATACAACCGGACTGAATGTGATTCTACGTGAAGAAATCAGTCGAAAATATAGAATACAATTTTTTCATTTGACACTTCGTTTTCGAGAAAATCGACTTTGAAGACGCATGTATTTGTGAGTAGAAAAGGAATGCAATGAACAGACGGACTAGCTAATTGTAAGTCTTCTTCAATTGTACGCGTATCCAATAACTATTCAAAGTCGATTTTCTCGAAAATCAAATCTCAAATGAAAAAATTTTATTGTATATTTTCGACATAGTTTTTCACGTAGAATCCCCATACTTGGTTTCATCACCATTTACATGGTACCTTCTAGACTTTGGCGGCTAGCTTATGGAACTTAGAATCCAAGAAGAATTTGTTCTCGTTATTATAGGTTCTGTAAAGTTCTAAGTAAAGTAAAAACTTCAGTAATTTTTGGCATACATCTTACATACTACTGTTAGTTTCAAATCTAGAATTCATTCTGTAAAAGTGTCACATTTTTTATTAATATCCTGCAATATTACGTAATATAATACAGGGTGTCTGATAGGTCCGACAGTGATTCCCATACGAATACACGTTTTCCTCAAAAACAAATCCTCCTATGAAAAATATTTATTCTTCCTTTTCTGATTTATTTTTCCATGTAGAATTATCTCCTATCCAATTATACCACTCATCCTGAGACACTGTTTAATATAAACAATATAAACATAGAATCTCATGGAAGACATTTCGAACATTTACTGTGAATTAACCTTTTTGATGTGAATATTTGTTTCTGGACGTAGTGTGCTTATGTAAAGTTTTGTTTGTCAATTGAAATTTCGTCCATTCTTTTTGATACACCTTCTGTCTCGAGGTCGAGGCAATTTGGTCGTCTGCGATCGAACCTCTCGCGAAAAGGAAATCGTCGAAATTACACGACGGGAAATTCCATGGCGGACACGAACAAACTAACCCGCGTCAGACCATGACGCGTCCATCGCGAAAAAGTCATCGTTATTTGTCACGGGCCGCTGAGCGATTGCTCGTATGTGGAAAGTGCACGGCTGCATTCCGCGAGTTACTTCCTCCCTACCGAAGGCAAATAGGAAGGGATGACAAAGTGCGCTTCTTGGCGGACGTGTTTACGCGCGTGGACATAATGCAAATATGTGGTCGGCGACTTTATCCTGTGATAAGGCTTAAATTACTCTTATCGCTACCGTGAGATTCTTGTCAAAATGGCCGCACTCGCTGTTTATTCTTCCGTCGTTTTTCTTTTTTTCTTTTTGCAATACGTATACGCGGTGCATGTGATATTTTTCTTTTTCATTATTATAGAGCATGCCATTCTTACTGTGAAGTGTAGACACTTGTTTCGTCGGTTAGAGTTAGAAAGTGTCCTTAATAAATTAAATGAAATATTATAATTTAATATCCTTGTTAGACTAATATATTAAAAAATATATAATTAGTCCAAGGCATAGATAACATTCGTTTGATGTTTTTCAGTTCGTTTTTACTGAAAAAAATTGATAATTAATTTTTATGTGTTATATGGTACCTGTTATTATTAAATTTCACAGTAATCTTAAAACTTGAGAATTTTTACCGTGATTTCTTTCAATTATTACAATTTTTTTCACTTATTTTTCGCTCACTTCACTTCATAAAATACAGTTCAAAAGAATTTATATTAAATAATGTTACTTCCTATTCGTTCCTACATGTATATTCACAGTACAGATTTTCAATGATACGCGTAATATTTTAGTTTAATTGCAAGCTGCGTTTGTAACGAGTAAAACACACATGCTACACTTATTCAATAAAGCATAAACCATGCAAAACGATGTATTTTATGCAATCTGAACTAAATTGGATTATTTGTTAACTTTAATTATTAATATGTCCATTCATACCCTCGATACTTTTTTCTCGTTTCGCTGAAATCACATTGAAAGTTACATTGATCGTATCGAAGAGAGGAGAGAATATTCATGGAATTTATATTTACTTTCTGTTTCATACAATAGCCGAGTTCATTTTGATTGTTTCAAGAGTTATTCATTAGAATCGGTATACATTTGTACGGACCCATATCATTCTGAATTGTTGAATTAATTAAAGCGTATAGGGATCGGTACAAACATGCTAATCAGTCAGTGGAATTTTAAACAATGTTATATTCCTATATTATTACGCTACTATATTAGTAAATTGAAGAAAGAACCATTCCCTCGCAATGAGTCTAAAAGTAAGCAGCCTATTACATCGTATCAAATTAGTAAACTCAATGAAAATTTCTTCTTTAATTCTGTTTCATATTCTAAACATACAGTATTTTAATTATTACAAAGTTATGAACTTTCCACATATTAAAAAAGATATATAATACAATGTTTTTAAAATAGATACAGCTACAGGTAGTGATAATTAAGGAACACTAAATTAAACTCTATCTCATTCAAATTTAGATACAATAGATTCTGCATCGTTGTTTTTCTCTTTAATCACCTATCCACGAAACAGTTATAAAACAAGAGCAAGTAAGGTTCGTGATTAATGCTTCGATGCGAGGAAACGTGGTACAGATAGTAAAAACGTCGGCGAACCGCGAGGACAAAACGCAATCGGTAAGGGAAATTATACAAATCCCGTTTTTAATTCATTTTCATGGTAAGCCAGAGCGCGACTATTGATCTCCTCGGCGTGGAAAAAGCGTCCTTTTATTATTCACAGTGGTGTACTCGCGGACAAATTAATACTAGAACTACCGACGATGAACGTATATTTATTTCCGTCAGATCTGTAATCATGCGAATCTTTTAAATATATTCAAATTCTTGAATTAACCGATTTCTTTATTTTCATATTATAATGAAACTACTGAAAGATCTGAGAAAATGTATTGTGGTAATATTTTAATCATCGTTACAATATTCTACTAACCAGTCATTTTGACTGCTTTGGTAGTTCTAGTATTAAGGGGACAGAGTAGAGCACAATCATTAAAAAATCGATTTTCGGTTTTTAATTTGTAATCAAAGTAGATGTCTTCCTGAATACTTCAAGGCCAATTTTCAACAAATTCTGGTCAGTGGAAGTAAGTGATTTTCAATTTTAAAAACTCCGATGACGTATAAAGAGGTGTAAATTCACGTCAATTTCAGAACGGTGTTCTGTAAAATTATATTTCTGTAAATTCAAGTACACTTTTCTCTAGAATCACTCAAGGAGACTACAAGTTTTTTTTTTGTTTAGTTCGTGACTTTCTCCTCTAGAAATTAATCGATCGAAATCAGAAAAGTATCATCATTATCATCGCAGATTTTTGGCGGAATTTAACGACGAAATAAGCAAGTAATTATTCTACCAGTTTGGTTTTTAACTAGCTCTAACTATCTCAAATCCGTATAATGATTTGAACAGTGCCTACTTTTTTGTTTTTAACTAGCTGTAACCAACTCAGATTAGTATGATGATTTCTACAGAATTTGCTTAACCCTCATCTGTCCCTCATTTTCCCAACTTAATTTGTCTCTCGGTGTAAAATTTGACCCAGTGGTAAAAATGAATACAATGAAGCGATAAATAGTTAAATTTGCAAATTCTTTACAATAAAAATCATGAAGCCTTAGCTACATTTACCTATACATGACAGAATAACGTCATTTCTTAGGAGAAAACCGTGTTAAATTGACACAAGGGACGGATGAGGGTTAAGACACTACGTTACAGAATTTCTGGGAAAATTACGATAATGACCAATAATCAGCGGTATATATTATGACCAATAATCAAGGTCATCGGAAGTTCACCCAATTTCACTTCTATTTTTTGTGCATTTCCTATTTCTTTAGAACAAATGATCCCAACATTAGAAACAATTTTATTCGAAGGGATACAAACGTGAAGAATAAGGGAGGAGAACATCAAGGTTGAATAGTTCTCACAACATTGCGAATACTCAGAAAAAGTACTATTTCATAATATACATATATGTATATATATACAATATTACCAGCAGTATTTTTTACCCGGCACTCTTAATTTTCTTCGCCAATTAACAACAATATGCACATACACCCTATTACTCTGTAATGTTAGACCGTGTTCGAGGCACGAGCTCGCCGACAAAGATACCAATCTGCTATGTGGATTATCGGTATCTTTCGAGACTTTTGTTGTTCGAGACACTAGATGCCCAGGTAACCAGCCTCGTCGCATTATCACGGGTGGGAATCAATTGTTAAGGGGACCCGCGATGGTTAGCCGAACGCGCGACCC